AGGAGGGTCTAGAGTGACTTCTATTGTGTGTCCCATGCTTTGGGAGCTTCAGAAACCCTTAACTTTCTTGCGTACAGCCTGGGATCACATCACTATAGTATAATTGGTAAAGAATAGCAGAGATAAAGCTTATACCGAATTCTCAAGGGAGATCATCACACAGGCATGTATGTAAGTCATTCTGCAAATCACAAGCAATTAGACTCCTCACTCTTCCCCTCTTGCCTTCTGGGAAAGAGCACTACTTCAAAGCTAGTAGTACTTGATCTGAATCCCATGGAGGCCCCAGTGCATGCTGACCTTGCTTCTCTCTGCCTGGCATACCTTTATTCCTTCATTTTACATGTCTTTTCAGGACTTTCCCTGTGCCCAGCACTGAGCTGAGCACAGAAAACAGTGGTGCAGATGTAAGCCTCTCCCTGCCCCCTTGGTGCTCCTACGCTGAATTTTCATTAAAAATACCAACCCCCAGACCACATCCTATGCTGTAGCCATGGGAGCTTCCATCTGTCCAGCTCCCTGGATTCCATAATGGCTCCTCGGGTCTTCCTGCTCCTCACTAGTGGGGCTTCTCCCTATTTTTTTCTAGACATCCTCTCCCCTGACAGCTTCAGACAAACCCAACTGAGCAGTGATCATGCATGTATGTGTGTGAGCATGCACATGTATGCGTGCCCCATCCCCCCACTCCTACCCCCACACACAACCCAGCCTGACTCTTTCATTTCATTCATTTCATTTCATCATCCTGTTATTCGTCGATTGCCTCGAGCAGGCCCCAGTAACGTCTCTTTCATCCTTGCCCTGAAATTATATTCAAGACTATTTAGGAGAATGAGACCCATCATTGTTACTGGTATTTGGCATATTTGGTACGCCACGGGGAGTTTGCCAGACTCTGCCCTGTGGGCAGGCTACATTCGATAGCCTGCAGGTTTGTCCAAAGTAGGAATAAGACAATAAGATGTCATAAAAAAAAGTTCTGTTAAGATGTCGCGGCCGCTGATGGGATTACACGGCGCCAGGGGGCCAGGTGGTGGGTGTGACCCCCGCCTACTGGAATTTGGAGGATCTGGGTGGAAGATGCTCGACTCCAATTCGAGTAGGCTTGGAGGTCTCGGCCCCGGAACCCGCGTGGCTTATTCCCTCTGCCAGTACCTTCATGTGTGCGGAGAGTGGTCTCAGCATGGTGGTGGCTGGTCCTGGAGGTCTTCGGCTGCCGTAGCCCTGGTCGGGGCGGGGAGGAAAGCTCAACCCGCTCCCCTCCAAGGGACTCCGGGAAGGGACACCCAGGCGCGGGGGCAGAGACTCTTTGCATGTATTAATTCAGTAAAGGCCCCACAATATTTAGAAGGTAATTATTCTTACTCTTTCCTTAATGGAGGAGGAAACTGGGGAACTGGGAGATTAAAGCCACAGAGCTAGTCAAACCCACGAAGTCCTGCTTCAGAGTCTGTACTTTGAACTACAAGACTTTGCCTCTGAACAAGTGTCTGTTACTAAACAGAAGTCTGTGATTAAGCCCCAAGCCTTTAGCCTTTATGTAAGACATTATAGCCTGGAACATCTTCCCCAGAGACTCCTTTAAGGAGCTGCTGCTGCTGCTGCTGCTGCTGTTACTACTACTACTTCTTCTTCTTCTTCTTCTTCTTCTTCTTCTTCTTCTTCTTCTTCTTCTTCTTCTTTCTTCTTCTTCTTCTTCTTCTTCTTCTTCTTCTTCTTCTTCTTCTTCTTCTTCTTCTTCTTCTTCTTCTTCTTCTTCTGCTTTTTGGGTCACACCTTGTGATTTTCAGGGGTAACTTCTGGCTCTGTGCTCAGGAATTACTCCTGACAGTGCTCAGGGAACCATATGGGATGCTGCATGCCAGGTAAATGCCCTCCCTGCTGTCCCTATGGAGCTCATTCTAACCAATCCCTAAGTCACTATTTCCATGACCCTTTCTTCCCCAGAATGACCCTGAAATCCCCTAGGAATGCTCCAGGCTCCCATACTATTCCCATTACAGCCTTTTCTAACAGAGCCAGAGCCAGGGAAGGTGCCTTCTTCACTTGCTCCTCTCTGAACAGGAACGTCTTCATCTGGAAATAAACGCCAACCTTATGGCCAGCCCAAGTCTGGGACTGCATGTACACAGAGTGACTATCAGTTCAAGGAGCCTATGCTTTATCAAGGTTGAATATATTCCTGGGACCAATCTCCATGTGGGCATTTAATAAACCACTGCTGTGTGCCCTGCCCTCACCAGTGCTCAGTGTGGTCAGTCTGAGGTGCTTCATCTTAGTCTCTGCATCCAGCTTTCATCTGAAGCCCTTGAGCTCTTTTTCTTCTCCTCCAGGGCTTGCAGCCTTTCTACTTACCTGCCTTCTTCCATCTCTTTTAAGTCAGCTTGAGAGAAAGGACTTAGCTAACTAAAACTGAAGGGATGGGCGATTCTAAGGGGGTTGATTTTGTGTCCAGCAGGTGGGGGATCACTCTGCCCACTTGGCAAAGGAGGATTCATCTACTTCAGGCCAGAGGACTAAAACAAGAGTCACAGAATGTCGAGTGGAACGGTCTAGGAGAGGACTGCATCCTCTCTTCTGATCTTTCTGAGAGTGAGCACAGAGGTTTTCTCCCCGCCACTCAGTCCCAAGACCAAACTGAGACCCAGGCTCCCTCACCTGTTTGTTTACCACTTTATTGGCACTTCCACATCAGTATCCTTGTCCCCAAATACTATCATTTATGAACTCCACTGCCCAGATTCCTATTTCCAAAAAATCTATTTTTTCTTCCTCTCTGTGTTGCCTCTCAACTGTTGATCCAAATAAATTTGTTATATAGCACATTCAGTTTCTTCAGGTGCTATCCCCAGTAACACTACTGCCTCCAGCATGAGGCATTCTTATCCTCTTCTGAGGTGGGGAAGCTGATCAGAGAGAGGCACAACTCCTCTACTGAACAACCATTCAGGCTCTGCAGCCAGTCGCCAAATCCACACCCTTTCCGCCTCTTCAGCCATGCAGTGCTTTGAGATGTGGCCTGGAATGTGGTCTGTGCTTCCTCTCCGCTTTCACTTTTTCCAGCATCTCTTCTCAAATTCACTCCTCTCCCTTTGCCACCCACTTCACCCCACCCAGCATAAGGAAAATGAAAGCTCTCCCCCAAATCCTCATCTACGGAAGTTGTTCCTGCTGAGCTCCATCTGACCTCTAACCAAGAGGCACATATGAGGCCTCCCTGTGCTGGGCCTACACTCACTCTGGGAGTGTGAGTGCTGGGTGGCTGCAGCCTCTGGCCAGCCTTGGTTTTCTCTCATGCTTTTATTAGCTGCCTAATTGGCAGCCCAATTAATCTGCTCATCTGTGAAGGAGGATGGATCCCAATGAGCTGGTCCATTTCCAGAAGCTCTTCTCCAAAGTTGCATGGCCAGGCCCCTGAGCACAGGCTGGCTCCTTGATGGAGGGCTGCCCTGGGAGCCGGGGTCAATTAGTGGACAGATTAAGCAATTATTAGCCCCTAACAAGGGTGCCTGGCATCATTAGCCCGCCTGTTTACTGGCAAACTGCAGCTTTCATATGAGGATCCACAAATGAATCAGGGCATCTGGTCCTCAGCCACCATGTGGGCCGAGATGTCAGTGATGTCCAACTGGTTTTCAGCTGCCCATGGATTTCCGGCCCTGGCCTGATGCAAAGCCGAGCTGCCCTCTCTGGTCACGGCAGCTTTGGAATGTGCTCCGGGTCCATTCATCATCCCAGGTGCTAAGTGCCTGCCGCTGGGCATGGGGTTGTGCGTAGATACCAGCTGCCTTCCTCAGGAGGTCTGTTAGAACTGCTCACTGTTCAAGGTCCAGTTCAAAGGCGGCTTTCTTCTTGTGTTTCCTGCTCTGGTCAGCAGGAACAAAGTTCCTCTTTGCACTGGGGGAGGGTACTGTCCCGTCTCCACCCCCATGGCAGTCATTTCATGGAAGGTTTCAGGTACCATCTTGCCTTTTCCTTTTGACCTCTGATGAGGAAGTTGAGACACATTGGTGGGAAGAAGTCAGTGTTGTTTCACATCTCCTGCAGCGACACATAGGCCAGTACCAGAAGGACAGAAGGACACCAGAAGGACAGCAAGTAGAGTGGTTGTGTCAGACCAGCATGTTGGGAGACATGTCAGAGCGAGTAGCTCTCCCCAGGCAGGGATCATTGGTGCTGCCCAGGCTTGATGTGATAGAAAAGCAGCTGGAGGATGAAGATGGGAACAGATTTTCTAGATTCAGGGAGCCTAGTAGACAGAGCCTAAAAAGGGGAAGAGACTCATGAAGAGACACATAAAGACTTTAGCTTTTCTAAATCCAGTGATCTGGAATGGAGGTGGTGTGGGTGCCAGTGAGAAACACAGAGGATGCCGGCACAGAGGACCCTTACTGAGGGAAAGGAGCAGAGCTGGGGAGCACTGGAGAAAACTTCCCTCATCCTAAGACTTTTCCAAGTCCCTTCTTCCCTTCGCTTCCCTCTTGACTCAGCAGCAACATGCAGATTCAAATTCAAAGGCCCCTGACTTCACATTTCTCCAGCCTCGTGTCAACTCTTAGCTTGCACTGTGCTCATAGTGAGACTCTGTTTATTGTTCAGTGTTCTCACCTCTCCCCTATCTCTGGCTGTCTAAACTGAGCTGATGCTCCAAAGCACAGCTCAAATGTTATCTCTCTCTCTCTCTCTCTCTTTTTCTTTTGAGCCTCCTTGTGCCCATGAGCAAGAAATACTGTCTCTTCTGTTCAGAGCCTTCAATATAGTGACTTGAGCTGTCTCTTGGAAATGGAAAAATTCACTGGTGATGTATGATACCAAGCCACATGCCTACAGTGATTGATGGTATATCCTTCACCCAACCCCCCACCTCTCATATCACCTTTCGCCTAATCCTCACCCCTCAAATCACCTATTGAGTTCTTTCTGCCTTTCAAACAGGAAAACTGATTTCTTCTCTGTCCAAACACTTTTAGGCTAACACAGACGCTTCTCTTTTCTAGGGATCATTGACTTCCTCATAAGTCAGCACCCTGTTGCCCGTGTGCTACGGGAATACTTGGTCTTCAAGATTGCACCAATGCTCAATCCCGATGGAGTCTACCTTGGCAATTACAGGTAAGGGATAGGATGGGGTGGTGGCTGGCAGGGATTTGTGGAAGCTGGTAGTAATTAGATGAAGGTATGGAAGTAAGGAGAAAAGGGATTGACAACTTTCTGGATTTATATTATTTATAGGGACACACCCAGTGAGACTTGGGTCCAGTTATGCTTGAAAGGCTACCAGGGTCACCTAATTGTCCTGTGGTCAGGGGTCAGGAACAGTTGTGGTACCTGGGAACAAACTCAGGGCCCTGCACATGCTAGACATGTATTCAACCCCTTGAGTCACAGTCCTGGGTCAAGAGATAGCTTTTTGAGAACAAATTTCGGACTACCTATGAGTTCATTAGATGGAATTTCACCCTGGCTCCTGAAAATGTGGTGAATATATCTTGATTGTTTAATATGTAGCCCTCTGAGGTCACTTGCCTGGGGGGGGGTATGAAACAATTTTTTTTTGTGTAGGATTTCTTTCTGCCTTGCCACAGGGAGCTTAGGTTTATTGGGTTACTCCTATCACAGTGCTCACATTCCTCTGTGTTTATTTATAACCTCTTTCTTTGTGCTCTACTTCCCCAACCAGTCAGTCACCTTTATCTCAATCAGACTCTTCTCTTAAGCCCTTTGCATAGTTAATTCAGAGCAATGTCCTTTTTGTGTAGACACAAGAAGATAGTTAATGCTATGCTTTTGTAACTTGGGAGTTAATTGACTTCAAATGATATTCACTCCTGGGCATCTGTTTTCTCGACTTAAGCCTCAGTTGCCCTTACTTCCTAGCACCCTAAAAGCAGGGTCCTGACAAGGGACTGGATGGACACAGGGCAAGCTGTGAGCTATCCTGGCATCGAAATGGGCCAGGCCAAAGCGCCATAATACTTAACTATAAGTTAAGAGCATGGTCATGGACAAATTCTGTCATGATCCAAAAAGTAACAACTAGATTAGGACCCATATAGGGTTAGGAAAGATTAATCTGGCCTGAGTACTGTAGTCTGAGATCTATAGTGAGATGTGCCCAGGAGAGCCACCATACAATCTTAATGTTATCTCTTACTGTGTTCATACAAAATAACTAATATTAATAAGTAGAATTAAGATGTTAATTAAGATGTTAATTAAGTTATTGGACTAAGGAAAGGAGAAAAAACCCTAGGTGGTATTTTGCCCTTGAGCCCGATCAGCGATCAGAAAGGGCTTTCATGTGTTGACTATGCTACCTGATCTGGGTGTGTGGTTGCTACCCACAATGTGCGGAGTTGGAGGGGGAGACACTAGAGGAGAGACCAAGGTGCTGAGTTGGAGCATGGAGAGATGAGCCAGGGAGATAGGAGGGGATGGGAATGAGGGCCAGTGTAAGACTGGAATGGGGAGCTTAGTAAGATTGAAACAGGTACATGGGATGAACAGCATTAGCGGCAACAGATCACCAATCAGCCTGGCTCTCGTTTCCTCCTTCATCTGCCCATGGCATCATCAGCTGTCCTGGGTGGGGAAGTGGCTGGAAACCACCAAATGCAGGCAGTGAGAGAGAGCCTCAGGATTTCCTAGCCGCTTGGTGATTACACATTTTTGGTTAAGGAATGGGAAGATTTGGCATGAGTTTGGCACCTAATTCCTATGTAATCTTTGGGAATTCACCTTCCTCTCTAATGCTGTTTCTAATGTGTGATGAAATATAATCATTGACCTTGGTTGGGCACAAGGAAGGAAGGAAGGAAGGAAGGGAGGGAGGGAGGGAGGGAGGGAGGAAGGAAGGAAGGAAGGAAGGAAGGAAGGAAGGAAGGAAGGAAGAAAAGAAATGGGGGCAGCAGAGCGGTAATACAGTAGATAGGACTTGCATGTGGCTCACGTAGGTTCAATCCCCAGCACCCTGTATAGGTCCCTGAGCACTGCCAGGAGTGATTTCTGATCGAAGAGCCAGGAGTAAGCCCTAGACACCACAGTGGGTGGCTCAAAAAGCAAAAAAGAGGGAAGGAAGGAAAGGGAAGGGAAGGGAAGGGAAGGGAAGGGAAGGGAAGGGAAGGGAAGGGAAGGGAAGGGAAGAAATGGTGGGGATCATGTACTCTGAAAATTCTTGATGAAAGATTATCATTTAGTTTCTGTGTTTCTTCTTGGAGTCTTCATGAAGGAGAGAGCAGCTCCTGATTGATCTGAACAGTATTGCTGTCTGATTGCATAAATCAACTAGGTTCACATTTATTCACGCACAGAACTTGAAATTTTCCATGTAAATTATGTCTCAGTGCCATAATTTGCAGCCTGAAATTCCACTGTCCATAGAGTCACATGTGGGAAGAACATTGAATCTTATAAGAACAATATCATTTATTTTTTAATATTTTTCCCCATCCTTCCACCAGTGCCCATTCTCCACCACCAAAGATCCCAGTATCCCTCCCACCCACCCCCATCCCCCCATTCCATCCCGCCTCTGTGGCAGGGCATCAAAATATGGAACACTTCACGAATTTGCATGTCATCCTTGTGCAGGGGTCATGCTAATCTTCTCTGTATCATTCCAATTTTAGTGTATGTACTGCCAAAGTGAGCACAGACCAATATCATTTACTACCCTTATTCTACAGTTGCCGGGCTCTCTGAGAGGGGCGGAGGAATCGAACTCGGCTCAGCCATGTTGGCTGCGTGCAAGGCAAACGCCCTACCACTGTGCTATCGCTGCAGCCCCAATCCTTGACCATTTAACTTGATGTCTAACTTCACTGCCCAACTTATGCATTATTAGGGCCAATTAATCGCACAATATTCAAATAATATTCAAATTCCAGGTTTGCATGCAAGGACCTGTGACTATCTGTCCATTCTACCCCCCTTCCCACCTCTGAGAACTATAGCTCTGGCCACTCCAGAGCCTGCTGACATGGCTTCCTGATTCTTGATACCTGATCTTACTGAAGCTGCCCTTTACCCAGAACCTCTATGCTTCTCTTCATCTCATTGACTTTTCATTGCTCGTGCTCATATTTCTTATTCTGGAAAAAATCTCAACAGCTCAAACAGAACCTATCACTCTTTTCTCTGAACTCCACAGGGCAGTATATTAAACAGATCTTATCTACCACTGCATGAGCCCTACTGAACAGCAAGTGAGCAGAGAGAAAAGACTGAGCCCTTGTGAGATGTATACCTTCTGTGCCTGACAGCAGGGGGTAGCACACAGGACATGCTCAGAAAGTGATGAAATTGAGTGATAGAGAGGGAGTCTTCATTGATGAAAATGAGAGAGGAGATGGTGCTCCTCCAAAGTCCGTAGGAGAGTTAAGACCAGAACCCAGATTCCTGGCCCCCATTTTAAGTAGAGTTGGTTGACTACTTTCCAAGAGCCTGAAAACTGGGTACAAAGGAACTTCCTCTTAGCCCTGGTTGTATGTAGACAAAGCCCATTGTTTGAAAGATGCCGTGGTTAAGGACCATTTGGCTTCCATGGTGGAATAACCTGGCTTGCTGCGGGTCCTGGAGCAGCATTCTCCCCTCCTCTGGACAAAACGTCCTGTAAATGACAGTGCTGGTGGCAAGGACATTTGATTGATGATAATATTTCTGTTTAATTGTAAGAACTGTCATGTCGAGAGAAGAGGGCCCAATCCTCTCCATCTCATGCTCACTTAGGCCTCATCCACTGTTCAAAGATGAAGAGTAGAAAAGAGATTTGTGGTTTTGGTCGGAGACTTTCTCTCTGGGCTTTGGATGGGCATTGGTGTGGTCATCAGGAACTAGACACTTCTAAAAAATGACTTTAAGCTCCAGATTTTATGATTTGGGGCTTTTGGGATAAGAGGACTTAAACCTGCAGAAATGGTTCTTTGATGAAGTTTAAACGCCTCGTATCCTCCTAGTGAGAGTAAGTGTTTCTCATGATGAGAATTGGAGAAAATCTTGAACCACAGGCATTAATCCTGCTGCTAAAATAGCTCTGAGTAGCAGCAAGGAAAGTACCCATCATGAAAATTCGCACAAAAACTTTAAAGAATGTGAGAAATAAAAGAGAAATAAAGAGTCAGATTTGAATGCTTTAAGGTATCTTGGAAGTACTCTGATCTTTGTTCTGTTTTTTGGTGAAGTTTTCCCAGGCACTCAAATTCTCCTCTCATTCAGTCCTTCCAACTCTGCGGACGATCTTGGTTATAGTTTCTCTTCTTGTTGATGATAACAACAAGTGCAGATTAGCTCAAAGAAGGCGGGGGAGATAGGGGCAAATGAAGGAAGGAGGGAAAGAAGAAAGGGGGAAGGAAGAAAAGAGTTAGGAAAAAAGAAAGTAGAGAAGGAGAAAGAATGAAGGGAAGGGAAGAGGAAAAGTAGGGAAGGAATAAGGGGAAAAAGGAAGAGAAAAAAAGGAGGAAGGAAGGACATAAGGAGAGAGGCAAGGAAGGGAGGGAGAGTGGAAGGAAATTGGGTAGTGGAGGGAGAAAATTGATCAACCTTATATATCATAATGTTTATAGTAAGATAGACAAGTTATGATGAGGCATTTAATCTGTAAATAATGGTAGCTCTACCATGGTAAGTAACTCTCTTTGTTCTCAAAGCCACCGCACTCACTCACTAGACTCCTGTATGTGCCTCGAGGCTGTGGCTTACAAGGAGTATCAAGGACCTGCGTGAAGTATATAGTCTCTGTACTAACTCTGCAGCATCCATCCGTAATAGTTAGATCATACAGCCCCAGATAACAAGTATATGATACTATATAATAACGGCATAAACAACTCTGCACTCTGGCTTACTAAACTCTAATTACACAGGTATTTTTTCCCTGAGGTTTAAGGATTTTTCTAGAAGTCTCCAATATAAAGTGGGCCTCCTGTTCTGCTCTGAGGTAATTATAGAAAGAAATAGACACTCTGATGGGGTGTATGGTGTTGGAATGTTGTATTCATAAAACCCTATCATTGACAATATTGTGAAATTGTAAAAAGAAAAAAAAGGAAAGAAAGAAAATAAAGAAAACGAGAGAGAAAAAGAAGAAAAGAAAGAAAGAAAGAAAGAAAGAAAGA